AGTGGGGTCCCCTCAGCTGGGCTCTGCCGGCCACGCTGGTGGGGAGCGGGGCGGTGGCCGGGGTCACGGTCAGGCCTCGGTGCGGGACGGTGTGCAGCCAGACCCCGTGACCCGGTTGCTGTGTTTCTACGGGCACAGCAGGCTACTCGGGTCTCCGTTTGCCTCCGTCTTTGCTTAGGGAACGGGGTGTGCAGGAGGGCGGACCCCGCAGGGCACCCTGTCTGTAGCGGGGGGGGGGGGGGGGGGGGGGGGGGATGAGAGCAAGCCTTGCTGCTGGGTTCCAGTCCTGCTCTCTCACTAGCTGGTGGACTTAGGCCGGCCTCTCTCTCTCTCTCTCTTTCTCTCTCTCTCAAATATATTTTTATTGATTTCATAGAGGAAGGGAGAAGGAGAGAGAGAAAGATCAAGGATGAGAGAGAATCATGGATCGGCTGCCTCCTGCACACCCCACACTGGGGATGGAGCCCACAACCCAGGCCTGTGCCCCGACGGGAATCGAACCGTGACCTCCTGGTTCATAGGGTGATGCTCAGCCCCTGAGCCACGCAGACTGGGCTTGGGCCAGTCTCTTCATTGCTCTGAGCCCTCACCTGCAGACGGGTGTCCCCAGGACCTGCCCCCCAAGGCGGGGGGAGGGGGGAGGGTGCCGTGAGCAAATCCAACAGCCCGGGGCCCAGCAGCTGGCAAGGGTTGGGGAAGGCCGCCCCCTGCTGACGGGGCCACAGTGGTGGATTGGCCCCAGGGACAGAATCCAGGCCCACAGGCCGCACATGGATGGTGGGTGCTGTCCTGGGTCCTGAAGGGCTCGGGGCTCTCAGCGGCCCTGAGCCCCTCCCTGCCAGGAGGGCTGTGGACTCCTGACTGCCCACCCCCGTACCCCCCCGCTGTGAGCTCCTGGGCGGAGCTGATCCCCTCTGGCCGCCCGCCTCCGCCCCCATCCTGGCCCCCTGTGCCCCCTCCTGCACACGCTGGCCTGTCTGTTCAGCATGTGTCTCAGATCCTCCCACACCGTCTGGGGCAGGTCACATGACCTCTGAGCGTGTCCTGCCCTCGGGCCCAGGGCCATTGCGATGATGGCTGATCTTTGGGCTGGTGTGTGGGTCCCTCCCGAGGTGGAAGGACCCGAGGCAACTGGTGCAGCTGGTCATCCAACCAGTGCCCCACATCTGAGAACCACCCGAGAGCAGGACCTGGATCCTCACCCCAAAGCTCACTGTGGACACCAAGCCCCAAACCCAAGTTCAGCCCCACCTACTCCAGGAGCACCAGCCCCCGTACCGCTGTCACCTGTCCTGACAGAAGCACCCAAGGCCCTGAAAGGGGTGTGAGCAGCTGGGAGCCGCCCGCCTGGCTGCTCGGAGCTGGGCCGCTCCTC